ACTTTCTTCCAAACTTATGAAAACGTCACCTTACTATTTCTATACTAAGTCTAATACCTTTTTTTTTCTATTTTTTCTTGTATTTGAATGGCTGTTATATTATATTCTTTCTCTGTTATTTTTACAATCTTATTATATTGTTTTGAGATAATTACATAAGGTTGTTCTAATCTTTCTGAAGTACTTAGATCCTGATTTTCATAATATCTTTTAACCTAATATATAGCTGTAGACTTATTACAATATATCTGTTTAGCAATAAATTCAAAACTAAACTTTAGACCAGCTGGATGCTCATATAAAAAGACAATTCATATTATTTTTCTAAAGAAAGCTCTATTTTTCAAGCGAAAGTTTAATGATCATCTAAATTTTTTTTTGTATTATTGACATTTATAAATTTACCAGTGATCATGTATTGTATTATATAATAATTTTAAATGATCTTAATCAGTCAGATACTTATGATCGCTACTGTATATTTATTTTATTATAAATTATAAAAGATAAAGAAGAAAAGTAATTGTGTAATATAATTATCATTTGCATTAATTTTATATTTTATGATTCTATATCTTTTTGAATTTTTTAATTAAATAAAAAAAGATTATTTAATTAAGACTATTTAAAACTCCTCTTATCATAATTATCAAAAAATATATATATTTATATTAAAATTTGTAATACTAATTTTGAAATTAATTTTATTTAATTCACTAATTTTTTAAATAATCAATTTATATAAAATCTAAAATAAAATTATATAATGTCTTTGTAAAACCCTTAAAAATAAAATTTTTATTTATATTATATTATCTTTTTACATTCTCTTATATAATTAAATAAATATTTATTATATATTATATCATTTTATAGTAATTCCTTTATTGTTAAATGATGTTATTTCTGATCTTTTACTTATTATATATATTTCTTATTATAAATCTATAATGATAAAGACATATTATCAAGCTTATTTTAAATAGACTTATACACATAAAAATTAAATAATAAGAAAATAAGAAGAATATTTTTTTTTAGATCAAAGTACTTTTACATATTTTAATAAGATTATTAAAAAAAAAATAATATAAATCTAAAAAAGAATCAAATTCTGATTGTATTATAATTATTTGAAATATAATTTTAATAAAATGTTTTAAGATATTTTTTTTAAAGTAGATTTAAATCAATTATTTTATTATAATATTTAGTTATTAATCAAAAATTATTAATGATTATATTATACTTATCTTATAAAGCATTTTTTAAAAAGAATGGAATTTTTCAAAATAATAATATTGTATCATATTTAAAGTTGCTTGTCTAAACTCATTTTGGATTTGACAAAATGTTTAAACTTTAATTTCGTTAATTTTATTAAGGTTTTGATATAGTTTTGCATTTTTATAAGCTTTGATATAATTTTACCTTTTGCAAAGTTTTGCAGTTTTTTTAATATAATTTCACTAAATTTTACTTTTTACTATTTAGACAATTTGCAAAACCTCTAAATTTCACCTAACAACCTTAATCATACTATTCAAAAATTGCTATGCTGTCTATAATAATACTGAAATTATGATACTTTTATGGCTAGCATAAAGTCTTGATTTAAATCCTATAGAAAACTTTTAATTAGAATAAAAATAATAGTTTACTATTATATACCATTATAATCTAATATTTAAGTATTTAAAAAATGTTAAAGATATATAAAACAAAGCAGTTATTTCTGTAAATATTAACAGTACTAATTATTATTTTTAAGTTTTTTATGTTAAACTATTAATTGACATTAAGAAATATATTTATTTGATATTTTGAAGTTTATTAAATTTTATATATGTAAGTTTTTTTCATTTTATGATAATAACAACATTTGATTAATTTATCTAATACTTTTAAAGAACTAAACAAATTAACATGCAAATCTTTAAAGTAGTATGATATTATTATATGTAATAAATAATTCAATATAAAATTAATAAACAATCCTAATGCTAGTTTATCCTTAAAAAAGAAAGGGAAAATCTTTTTATTTTCAATAATTTTATTAATTTTATGTCTCTTAAAATATTATTCTTTAGTCATATGAAAATAAAACTGAAAAAAATTACATATTATTTTATCAGTTTCACCTCTTTCAAATATGTCAAAAAGGCATAGGTCAAATTATTTACAACTTGGAGTACACAATAGGTTTAATTTTGATATAAAACGCGTTAAATGAACATTTTCGCATCAGATTTAACATTTTACAAAGTTATTCTTTATTTTTCTTACAAAAAAAAATTAATTAATTAAGTATATAAATTCACAAATTTTTATAGCCTAGCTTCCTTCTGACTTTTTACTGATTTAATAAGATCTAATACTTCTATTGCTGAACCCCAGCTCATTATATACCCGTAAGAATGGTGACCATAATTATGACAAATTATGACGTCTTTACCAACAGAATTTCGCCTTACTTCAGTTTCAAGTCGAATACCACCTTTTCTTGATGGACGTAGCCCAACGACATGTCTCAATATGTGTACACTGGATAAATCTTTGTCTTGGGTTAATTCTGGACAAAGTTTAATGCAGCGGTTAAGGATCGATTCTGCAGTTTTTGGATCCGGTGTTGTGTCGCTATTTGAGACAAAAATATAAGAAAAAATTACGTGTGAAAAGGTAATAATTAAGTTATTTACTAATTGTTGACATCCATAGTTCCTCCTAGGATCACTTCACCACATTCTCGAGGGATTATATATGTGTATGTACCGTCCTCTGTGTGATAAAGAAATATAAATTGTAAGAAATATTAAATCGTTTGAAATCAACCCAAAATTTCTTTAATTTACCTTCCTGAAGTGATTTGGCGAATTTTATATGTGGTGCCGAAACGACCACAATCTGCCCTCTAGTAGGGAATACCTTATCATCATCTACGCCGCCAAAATTTCGTGCATTGACACCCGTACAGTTTATAACAAAATCTACATTAGGTTCATCTGCGTCATTGAGATGATTAAGGTGAGCCTTTTGAGTTACGCCACCGGCACTTGTGAATTGATTCAAAAGCCATCGTAAATATATTGGAACATCTATTGTAACTAGAAAAGATTGGAGCATTAGGTCACGTGACAATACAAAAAGGGTTGGAATAAATATTTACCAGTTGTAAAGGAAATACCATAATCTACGTTTTTAGGGAGTTCGTTTTTTGGCAAAATATGAAACTAAAATTATGAAAACATTTCAATTAATTGAAAAAATAAAGTCAATATTTCACTAAGTGATATTACCTCATGATATACACCCTTAAACAATTTTTCGACATCAATATGAGGATTTTTTTCGTGAAACATAAAGTTTGGAAGACGTATGACACCGGTATCATTCATATTTGATAATGCCCATAGTGTTTTGTATGAAACGTTTTGGATTTCTAATAATTATAAAGGAAGTTAATATATATAAAGTATATAAAGATAACAGCAATTGTTCGACTTACTTTCGAAACGTTCGTCAAAAAATTCATGTGGAGAAAAAATGGCACCAGCACACGGGCTTGTATAATTATTACTTAAATCACCAGGCCAATGTTCAGCAATAATTTTTACTTTATATCCATTCTTTTGAAGAACTAAACCAGTTGTTAGCCCCACAACTCCAGCACCGATGACATTTACTCGATTTTTTCTTGACATTTCAAAAAAAAAAGCACCAAAATTTTGAGGGAAAAAGGCTTATTTCATCAAAGTATCAAATTTATAGCCCTGTTCAATTCTAGATCGGATCGGATTGACCGCAAAATGTGCCCTTAAATGATTGGTTATTAAATCGATCAG